TCTTAAACTTGACGCTTTCCAAAATCATAATTTGTATTATCGTTCCGGTATGGTCCAATCTTGGAATAAGTTTTGCTTTACCCAAGGTCGTCTTGAAGTATCTGCAAAACTCCCAGGTAACGGTTCCATTCTCGGTCTTTGGCCCGGTATCTGGACCTTGGGTAACTTGGTCCGCCCAGGTTACTTGGCCACAGCTGAAGGTGTTTGGCCTTACTCTTATAATAGTTGCGATGCTGGCATTACCCCGAATCAATCCTCTACGGATGGTATCTCATACCTCAAGGGTCAGAAACTTAACGCATGTACTTGTGATGGCGCAGATCATCCCAATCAAGGCGTGGGCCGAGGTGCTCAGGAAATTGATGCATTGGAAGGTACCGTCAGTTCCACCCTTCTTGCCGGTGTTGCATCACAATCATTGCAAATTGCTCCTTATGACATTTGGTATTACCCAGACTTGAATTTTATTGAGGTTTATAATAGCACTATTTCCCAACTCAATAGCTGGAACGGTGGACCTCTCCAGCAGGCCGTGTCCATGGCTACAGCCCTTAATGCGACTTGGTACGAGTTGTCGTCAACTCCCAGATACCAGACGTATGGCTTTGAGTACCTGAATGACGATTCGGAGGGCTACATTCGATGGTTTGTTGGTTCGACGCCTGTATTTACGCTATATGCTCCTGCTCTAGGACCCAATGGTAACATTGATCAGCGTGAGATTTCCAAAGAACCTATGAGCATTATTCTTAACTTGGGTATTTCCACTTCTTGGGTGTACATTGATTGGCCCTCTCTGGTATGGCCTTCCCGTATGCGCATTGACTACGTGCGAGTGTGGCAACCCAAGGATGCAATTAATGTTGGTTGTGATCCTGATGGATACCCTACATACGATTACATTGAGAATCACAAGGATGTGTATACCAATCCCAACTATACAGTGTGGGATGATACAGTTTATGAATGGCCCAAGAATAAGTTGACAGGATGTTAATATTAGGGGGAGAGGGGGGAAAAAAAAAAAAAAAAGAAAAGCCATTGGAATGGATTTAAAAAAAATTAGGTTTAAAAAAAAAAAAATTTTAAAAACGATTATAAAAAAGATGAAAAAAAAAAATTGAATAAAAATTGAATAAAAAATGGCAAATGGATAGACGTGTTAATTATGAAAAATAATTTTTTTTGGAGGCTTTTTATTTTTTATTTTTTTTTTTTTGTATAGGACATGAAAATAACAAATGAAAAAATGAAAAAATGAAAAAATATATTTTTTTCAAAACAAAACAAACAAAAAAATATTCAAAATTGGAGGTTTTAATTTTTTGATTTTTCTGATTTTTCTGTTTATTTTTTTTTTTTGTCCAGTAACAATAACAAAATATATAATGAAAATATGTAGTATAATATATAATAATATCTTAATTGGGAGAAAAAGAAATAAAAAAAAATTTTTTAATACAGTTGAGACGTATAACAAAAAGAATACCATGGGTGGAATTACGTTGACAAAAAAAAAAAAAAACAACAACAAGAGAGGAAGGGGTGGTGGGATGGTAGGATGGTAGGATGGAAACAAATTTGGCCACGACGACAGTTTTTAAAAGGGAAGTCGAAAAAAAAAAAGGGGGGGGAGGGGGGGAGAGAGAGAGAGAGAGAAAGGATGTTGGTTGTTTATTGATTTAAATGAAATGGTGGTTGGAAAGGGAATGGAGGCTGAGAAAAAAAAAAATATTTCAAAAATAAAAAGATATATATATATATAAAAAAAAAAAAGTGGTGATTGTAGATGTTGATGATAATGTTAATATAAGAAATATAAACAGTTTGTAGCAATCCAAGAACCAAAAGATTTTCCAAAAAAAAATTAAATAAAAGGCTTAGAGAGCCAAGATCTTAGCCTTTAGATTTATTTGATTGATTGATTGATTGATTGATTGATTGATAATTAAGCGATCAAGATATAAATATATATAAAAATAAGGTCATTATTAATTTTTTTTTTTTTTTCATATAGAGTTTCCCTTTATTATTAAGATAAAAGGCATCAAGATAATAATAACAAAAAAAAAAAATTATTATTGAAAGGTGATGGTGAGAGGTTTTTTTTTTTTTTTTTTTTAAGATTTAACATAAACAACAAGATTTAAGCCCATAAGAAGTGAGACATTAAAATAATAAAATACATGACGGGTTAGGGTTTGAGGTGAAGAGGTTTTATTTTTTTAAATTCAAATGTTACAAATATGTTACAAGAAGTTGTTGTAACATAATTTATATTTCATTACAACTTAATATATAAAATGTTGCAATTACACATTGTTGCAATTAAAAGGTCATCAGACTGGCGTTGCTAATGCCTGAGCTCTGAGTGGCTCCAAGACCGATTCTTCTAGAAAAGATAAAAAAAAAAATAAAAAAAAACAACAACAACAACAACCGCTTTTGTATTAGTCATCCTTTTAATATATATATACAAATAATTCTCTAGCAAACTCTTTTTTTTTTTTTTTTTTTTTTTTTTTTTTTTTTTTGGTTATATATATATATATATAATTTTTTTTTTATACCTCAACAGCAACACTTGAAAAATAGTATTTAAAGAACCTTTGAGAACCTAGAATCTCTCATTTTTAAATTTTTTAAAAAAAAATCTATTTTTTCCCATCAACTTATCTTTAATTTATCTACCTATAATATCACAAATACCCACACTTAATTAATAAACAACCCAGAAAAACAAAATGATTTCTAGAATCGCAAGAAATACTACTACCCACTGCTCACAGGCTACAAAATCCGCAGTTACAATTCTCTCAAAACGTTCAACTGCTCGCCTACATACCTCACGCTCTACTCAACTCTCTTCTTCCTCTACCATCACATCTTCTCGCAGACCCTCTCTGCGGCCCCTTACCCGTATCCCCTCAATGCAAGCCCGTTCCATGTTTATCCAAACCACTCCTACCCCTAACGAAGACGCACTCAAATTTTTACCTTCGCAACGAATTCTTCCAGCTTCCTTCGGTACTCGCACAATGGAGTTTCTTTCAGGTAGAGATGCACATGCGTCACCTCTTGCTCGCAAACTGTTTGCCATTGATGGTGTCAAGTCTGTAATGTTGGGACCTGACTTTTTGACAGTCGAAAAGGTGGGCCGCGCCAAAGGTGATGATGCATCTTCAGGAAGTGTGGCAGCTGGTGATGAAGATCCTGCTGCTGTTTCATGGATGGTTTTAAAGCCAGAGATTTTTGCAGTTTTGACTGAACACCTGTCTGCTGGATTGCCTGTGGTTGTGGAGGGCACCCATGCAGCTGCAGATACGGCAGCAAGTGAAGATGATGATGAGGTGGTGGCTATGATTAAGGAGCTAATTGATACACGTATTAGACCAGCTATTCAAGAGGATGGTGGTGATATTGAATACCGTGGCTTTACACCAGAGGGAGTGGTACAACTTAAGCTCCAAGGCGCGTGCCGGTCGTGCGACTCGAGTTCGGTGACACTTAAAAATGGTATTGAGAGTATGCTGATGCACTATGTGGAAGAGGTTACTGGAGTTGAGCAAGTACTAGATCCTGAGGAACAGGTTGCTATTAATGAGTTTGCCAAGTTTGAAGAGAAGCTGAAGAAACAAAAGGGTAATGGTTCTGAAGAGTCTGCTGCTGGTACTTCTACTGCTCCACCTGCTCTTTAATTAATGAAAAGAAAAGAAAAGAAAAGAAAAGAAAAGAAAAAAAATTAAAGAAAAAAAAAAACCATTGATAGACGCATTGAATGAATGATGAATGAATGAAATGATATTTATTTCTATATATATAATACTTTTTGTACATTTTTTTTTTAATTTAAAAAAAAAAAATTGTTTGTTTGTTTGTTTTTATTCAAGGGTTATATGAATATGAAATTATCCACAACATCAGCATCTGCACTATCCTTCTTGTCCATACTATATACAGTGGGTCCCTATAAAGTAACGATGTGCAAACCCCACTTTTGCTACAACAGCATATTTTTTACTTTCAACGCGACAACCACTTCATCTTGAATTCCTATTTACTCAACACCAATGACTCCAGTGACTTCCAGGGTTAAACATAGTCCTCTTAAGAGAGCCAAAATTTATATGAAGTACGCAATGGGTATTTCCCAGTAGAGTATCGCATTTGAGGAGGGAGTATTCACTAGAGTCTGTTTCTGGCATCATTCGACGCTACCCTAACTAAAAAAAAAAAATGCCTCCAGTTGTGCTAGGTCAGGACGACCACCAAAGCGTTTCCGATAGGAATAAAAGGGCCATTTTCAGAGTCGTTAGGAAATATCCTTTCATTAAGACACAAGATCTTATTGTTGCCGTTGGTTTAAATCTCTCTGAACGTACTATTTTACAATGGCTCACGCGTGAGGGCATCCATCATCAACGCGCCCTCCGACGGCCATTACTAACTTCACAGATGGCAGAAAAAACGACTCAAATTTGCGAGAATGTATAAAGATGAGCCAGAAAGCTTTTGGAAGCATTGGATTTTAAGTGATGAGTCTACAATTGCTCGTGGTGATGGTGAAAAGCAGGAGTGGATTTTTTTTTGCCCAAAAGTATGTTTTATTTACATTACTATTTCTTCATCTATTAACAAAGAACAGGGACAGCGATTGGATATTTAATATGTACAACCAAAAGTCAAACTCTCACGTCATTCTCAAATATTCTGGGGTGCTATATCCTTTTTCTCTCGATCGTCTTTATGGCCGCTTCATGGAGACCCTGAATCTGCTCGCGGAAGTGTTACTAGCCACTGTATTCTCGAATGCCTCCAAGACCAACTTCCAAAAATTGCAAGGCCAGGTTCTATATTTTCTTAAGATAACGCACCTACACATAAAGCTCGAATAGTTCAGAGTTGGATGTGTGAGTGAGCCGGACAGAATGGGGTTACTTTAGTGGACTGGCCCCCCTTATTCACCTGATCTTAATCCAATTGAGAATATATATGGAAACTGCTTAAGGAAAAAGATCTGTAAAAGATTTCCGGAACTATCACTATTTACCAAAGAATAATCAGTCATTAAATATGTTACGCGAAGCAACTGTGGAAGTCTGGGAGGATTTCCATCAGGACCTCATAAATAAGCTAGTCTTATCTATGCCCCGAAGACTTCAAGCTGTAGTAGATGCAAACGGCTGGTATACAAAATATTAAGCAAATATATATATCTCTAAAGAATAAGGAACCTATATCTCAAGTTACGTACTAATTGAATTAAATTTTATAAAGAAATCTGTCTTGAAAGTAATGTAGTGAAAAAAATTTTTTTTTTTTGGTGATGTGGGTGTGTACCAAAACTATCCTTCTTGTCCATACTATATATCTTTTTCATTTTTATAATAAACTTTTAATTTTGGTTTCAACATTGCATCTCCAATATTGTGAAAATAAGTCCTGATGCAAGCTTATAAGAAACAGAGGGAGGGTCAAAAAAAAAAAAAAAAAAAAAAAAAAAAAACCCAAACCTTTCCCAACTTATTCCCACTTGTCTTCATCAAGGATCTAATTATATATATATATATATATATATATATATCTTAATTCCTCCAAACAGAGAGATAAAGATTAAAAACTCTTCCAATCCAATTAAACTGTTTAAGAGAGAGAGAAAAAAAAAGGAAGTTAATTGATTATAATTAAATATTCAAGTTTATTTTTTTTTTTTTTGACAGATGAGTTTTGGGTGGGTCAATGAAGGATGGCTCAGATGACTCAAGTAATTAATATTTCCATTAATGGAAAAAATGTTTTGTTTTGTTTTTTTTATTTTTTTAATAATTTAATTTAACTTTGTTATTTTCTAATTATATTATAATAACTAATTAGTTATTTTTTATTAATGTTAACATTTAACAAGTAAACACAATTAAATTACAAATTTTTTTATTTTTATAAAAAAATAAAATAATGTAACAAAAATTGTTTATATAATTATATATATAAATTGCTTTATTGTTAATTTAAACCTTTTTGAAAAGTTTTCCTAGCCTTTTAATTTTTTAATTTTTTTTATTTTTTAATTTTTTTATTTATTAACGAGTCTTACATAAAAATGACTAAAACCTGTCTAAATTTTTTTTCTAAATTTTTCTAATTTCTAATTTATAATATACTTCTACTTAGTAGAAAATAAAATCGCAACTTTAAACCTCCATTATTCATTAATCATTAATAAATTCAAAATAACCGATGAAGATGGAATAAAAACAATTAAAAAAACAAAAAAAAGTCACTTCTGCACTGTTCCTTTTTCATCGTTAGCTTAGAATCCCGGCCGAAGAAGGTAAAAAAATAAAAATAAAAATAAATTTAAGATTAAAAAAAAAAAAAAAAAAAAAAAAAAAAATTAAAAACGATTGATGATGATGATGATGATGGATGATGGATGATGATATGATCTCATACATATAATTATTAATAATATTATTATACTACTTACTCTAAATTAAATTATTAATAAAATTGAAATATTAATAAAAATTTTTTTTTATGCTAAAATGCGACATTGATATCTTTTAGTCTCGTTTTTTTTTTTTTTTTAACTCTATGTAGCATGTAGCATTATTAAAAAAAAAAAAAAAAAAAAATTAAAGCTTTACTAACTACCACTAAACACACTTTAGAGCATATCAAAGAATCAAAAAATCAAAAAATCAAAAATTTTTTTTTTTTTTTTTTTTTTTTTTGAATTACCCCGTTTTCTTCTTCAACTTTACTCGGCTATTTTTGATCTTTTAATTCTTAAAAATCTCTTGAAATCAATTCAAATAGGCAAATCCTTTTTTTTTTTTTTTTATTTACCTTTAACTACTAGTTTTACTCCTTTAAAGTTTTGGTTACATTCCAATGTATTCTTTTCAAGAAACTTCAATAAAACAAATTGGAACAAATTGGAACAAAAGTAACTCTTCAATTGAGCCTTTTTTTTTTTTTTTTTTCTTCTTCATTTCAATTATCTTTTAATCTTTAAATAATAATATTAATAATAACAATAAACCCTTTTCATTTTCTTAATCTAATCAAGACCCTTGAACAAACAAAAAAAAAAAAAAAAACCTCCTCTTCTTCCATCTATTCCAACTTAGCCACTTTCTTGATCAAGTCACTTGCACTTTCCAATTTCTCATTTTGTATGCCATACTTCATTACACCATTTCAACTGGACCCTTAAGGGTCATAGATAGCTTTCTACTGAACCCTTTTTTTTTTTGTTAAACCCTTATTTCAATTTCTTCCCTGAAAAAAAAAAAAAAAAAAGAAAAAAAAACTCCATATTTCTTCCTGTATTTCCCCTTTCACACCATCTTCCCCTTTCACACCCTCTTCCCCTGATCTACCACATACACACCCCCCTCCCAGTTTCATCCCATCTTGTTAATATGTCTCAATCTCTCCACTCTTCCAACACTTTTTTTTTTTTTTTTTCCCCTGATGGTTAAGATCTATTCAATA